GAACGGCATTTATTAGAAATAGAAATCTTTTGTAACATTATAATAACATAATAATTACCTTATATACTTTTGTGAAACTTTCTATCAATTTAATGCATCCTTGAATTAAATTACATTAAATTAAACAAAAAAAATTAAATGAAATTAAATATTATATAATCCATCATTAAATAAAAGTAATTTTTTTTTTTTTAAAGTACTGACCCAAAACGTATTTTCTGACCCCACACAAATAAATAAAATAAAATAAAATAAAATGTTTTTATTCAAGACACAACCTATTTTAATAAATTTCAAATATATTCAAATATAAACCAGTTCTTTTAAATTGTAATAATATTTCACAATATTACTGTTTTTGTTGTTTTTAAATGCAGCCTTGATGAGCACAAGAGAAGCCTTTCAAAAACATTTTAGTTTAAAAAAAAAGTTGTTTCATAGGTGAATCAAATTATTACATTTTGATGAATGATTACAAGGACCTTTGGAATTATTAGTTATTATTCTTCTTTGGAATAATATGCACCAGCTGTTCACAATAAGACCAGTAATGTGAACTGAGAAAGTAAACAGTTAATTTTTTTTATTTCATGCTGACTTTAAAGCTGCTTTATGTAATTTCTGTGCCACCGGCTCTAACACTGCCAATAAGACCGTTTTGATAACATAGCCTACTCATCATAAAACAACAAACAGTACAATTGTGCAACAGAACGCAGCGTTAGTGCCAGCAAGAAACTGGTGAGGGGAAACGAATGAAAATGACTAGACAATGCCAATCTGAAGCCAGCTGGCTTGAGCTGGAGGAGCAAGTTCATTCACTAGTGCCATTCAATGGAACTGCAAGAACAATCACTGATTCCAAATATGATTTACAAACTCTTCATCTGCCAAACTCACACCACAGGTTGATATGCTGGACAATTCAAACCAGGGGCGTAGCCATCAATTCAGAAGTGAGGGGGACAGAAATGTTATACAGGTGCATCTCAATAAATTAGAATGTTATTCAACTCAAATTGTGAAACTCGTGTATTAAATAAATTCAATGCACACAGACTGAAGT